GGGGGGGGGGGGGGGGGGGTAAGTACCAATCCGCCATCTAAAATAAAATACTCTCTTCGTTATTAGATACCTCTTATAAACCTCACTCTCAAAGACATCTAACCCCCCTAACTTACTCACGACCAGCGAGGGTACTAACACCCACCCACCTACCTACCTATCCCTATAACACCCAACCTCACAGAACCTCCCAAACACACACGAACCAGTAAAAAATACTCACTCTTCCTTCCCATTCCTCCACAAAAGTGCTCGGAAGGACCTTCTTCTAGGTAATATAATAAACCCCATCTAGAAACTCTCTACCTAGGTATATTTCAACGAAGAAGGAGGGGGTCTAGAATAGAACCATTGTACTCGAGTATTAATACATAAAATATAATGGAATCCTTCCAGATAGCGTGTCTAGAAAGGAATAGAATAGAAATTCCAGTTCCCGGACCCTAATAAGTAAGGAAGGAAGGAAGGAAGGAAGGAAGTACGAGTACCTAATTCAACTAGATCTATGATTCTACTTGTTATCCCGGTCTAGGTAGTTGTGAATACAGTAGCAAGGTTGGGAGGGTACGGAATAGGCGATAGTAAAAAGGCGTACCTAAGTCGAGGGTGTGAGTACTTGGGGGAATGAGGGGGAGCTAGATAAGAGGGGATGAGATAATAAGAGGGAATAAGATGAGGTTTTTGATTTGTAGTTTTCAGGTTTGTTAGTGTATGATGTATGATGTAGGATTTACTGGATACTGGAGGATAAAAGGATATAATAATGGTAGTAGATACAGTATAGCTATAGAGATCACCGGGTTAAAGTGGGGAGAGATAGATATGTTTACCTACTCCAGATTAATCACGTAGTACGCTAATTAGGTTATGGATTAACACCCATACTTACCTACACTTACATACACATACACATACACACACATACACACACATACACAGACCTGTATATAAATATACAAACTAAATCAACACAAACTACCATATATACAGTATCATTTAATCCTCCTCAAAAACCTCCTAAATCCCATACGCAACCTCGAAGAAGCCACAGCAGGCACAGTCCCAAGAGCATCTTCAAGCAACTGTGATTTCGCCCCATATTTTCTCCTTAATTCTACCACGGTTTGGGCATCGAGAACGACTCCCGCCCTCAGGAGACAGGATATGATCTCCGCCCGCTCACGTAAATAGTACGCCCGGTAATCAAACCGGGCATCCGCTCCCGGGAGCGCTTCCATCTTACCCGCCCCAAAGCCCTTTAAAAGAGCCTCGATAAGTTTGCATTGGATCTTCTTGGGATCAGCACCGAGTTCTAGTAGCGTCGATACAACTTTCGCGCTCACGAGAATGCTTAATATACCCCGGTGGATGATGGCATATTCCAATAAATCTTTGCCACAAGGTCCTTGGAGAACTTTCTCTGGCCTCAGCTTTTCGCCAGCATATCTGTGTAAGCCGTACTAGATAGAGATGGTCAGTGAACTTGAGCGCGAGTGAAGAACTTGAGCTGCGGCTTGGTGGCCACGCGCCCAGCCGTATCCAGTCGCGAAAAGCTCCTCCAGGAGCTCAAATTGAGAAGTCCGCGTGTCCGACTCCAGTCGACGTGCGTACAAAATAGCGCTTTCCAAACAATCCTCTACCTTGACAAAATTGCAGCCAGAAGCATTTATTGACTTCAATTGCAGTGTTTGGGCCTTTAGCATCGCCAAGGATGGCTCGTATGTGTTGTCCGCTTGACCCGTCCAACTTTTGAGGGTCTCCCGAATTTCTCGCTTATTCAAGTAATCCTTCACAGTGCGATGAAGATACGAGACATGCGATTGGGGTAGCACCATTTTATCGCCTCTAAATTGTACCTCGAGAAGTCCTGGAAGTTTTGGAAACAAATTAGTTCTGGAGAATAGGCTTTCTGGTATGTAGAAACACACCCCAAAGGGCATTGTATACTCTCCGAAAAAAGTCCAACACTCGCTTCGAGGAAATCATAATAGAGAGACTTGCCTCCACACCGGCTTCCTATCCGAGAAGCCATTCTCTCGCAGCGATGTGCGAGCTTCTCCCAAGCCAAAAATTCCGTCGGTTTTGAGCATATCAAGTCAAAGTCGGCGTCTTCAGCAAAGGAAGCAGCGAGAATGGTCAAAGGTGATACTGGGAGAACTAAATCGCCATCAGGCCGGTGAGTCGTTGCCTCATGAATTAGCGTGAGTAATCGCGATGCCTCCGCCCGATAAGTTTCATCGACTTTTAGTATTATGTGCGAATAAAGTTTTTCGAGGTCCCTAGGAAGAATCCGGAGTCGAGCCTGCAAGTCAGAGACCGTATCATGTCCCCCGAGACCTCTGAGGAGCGAAGCCACTGCTAGTCTAACCCATTAAAAAACGCCGCTCGCTGCGGTCACAATCTCTTTGACGAGCTTAGGTGCCTCGTATGGCTCGGACTTTGATAACAGTCTCATCCTCGCATCGTCACCAAGTTCATCCGGCACGAATTGTTTGATGTCCGAAGCACTAAGGTCTTGTACGCGTAGGCTTGGTCTAGTGGCGAATGCGTCCTGAAAGACCTGGTGTGGACGACTGGAAACGCACAACTTGACATTAGGAGAGTCTGATACTTCCTGGAACAACTTGGCTATTTCACTTTCGTCTAGGCCATCGTATTCATCCAGGCCGTCAATAAACAGGCACGTTTTCAACGGTATCTGACTCTGGTATACCAATGTTTTGAATGCCAGCTTCTAACCGGACAGGAGCCATGTATCTTTCTGAATAGCATTAGTTATTGATCCAAATGAAGACACCTAGAAAGAACAAAGGTGCGATGCAATGTCAATCATATTACGGGCGAATAGTCATGAACATACCTGAAGCCGCTTACTAGGCGACGGCGAGATTTTTTCCAAATAGCGGGCAGACCATTGTCTTGGAAAGACCACTGGTATCAAGTTTGTGTTCTGCCGCAGCACACCATGAAGCACAGATCGAAGAAGACCTGCCTGCGACTTTTGTAACAAAGTGCCGCTAGCCCCAAAAGAAGAAGCTCGCGGTATAGAGAGGAACCGATTGCGGAGAATCTGCAATCCAAAGTGCTAAGGATTTTGCGGTCGTAGGGTGGGTAATTATGAATTTCATCATTGTCGATTTCCCGGATGCAGGTTTTCCATTGATCCAATACAATCCATCACCATACTGGAGCCAGTGGTTAAAATCACTCCATTGCCGCTGTGGTTCGCCGCCTGATGCGCCCCTTGGTTTCTGGAATATCCACTCAAAGGTCTTTTGGTGTGCCTCGGCCACCCCTTCAAACCGTTCTCCCATTGAAGGGAATCTGAGGCTATCGAGGATTTCATCTGATACCTCAATTCTTATAGCTCTTTCCTTCTGTCCCTTTATCTGAGCAGGAGTCGGTTGTACGGCATCCTCATCAAAATCCAACACTTGCTGAAGCACATCCACCATTACTTTGCGGGTATGATGTTCCTGATCCGCAATCACACTTTCTGTTCGGTTCAAAAGTACACTAAGTGTTCTAAGTTGGACTTGGAACTCCCCAGAGACAGTAGCTTGGAGATTGAGCAAGGCAGAAATAATTGTCTTGTTATCAAAGGCGAGCGACTGAAACTTATCCGACGCCTGAACAGCCATCAGATCCAATCGAGAGCTATCCAGTATGTCAGAAGGCCTAGAAGACGGAGGAGACTATAGACTTACCCCAGCGAAACCAGAACCTGCGAGTTGACTTGTGTACGATACTCTTGGAGGTTGTGCATTAGTCCGTCAATCTCCTTTCTGGACCAGATGCCGGATAAGGCTTGCGCTAGGCTCCTCCATTTTCGATGTTGTGTTGTCGCGGGCACCTTGAGCTTGCTCAACAGCTCGGTCAAGGTGTCGGCTTCTGCTGTACATTTCCGGCACAAATCCTGGAGTAGCCTCCCATCTCGAGACAAATCCTGTGAGGTCGAGATGTTACCTTGTCGGAGTTTGAATTGGTAGTCTTGTATCTCAGAAAGTGCCGAAGAGGCGAGCATTTGGATATGATCTGCCGCCTCCCCAGCAATGATGTTGGATTGCAACTCGCTGGATTTATATAACTGGGTGCCGGATGATACTAGCTTGGCGGTGAAGTCCACGAATTGGATAACCGTGCCAGCGAGAGAACCCGCAGTTAAGGGGTCCATCTTTGGGAGCAGTTGCAGTGCGGCTTTCGCTCCTTCTCAGGAGCTTGGTGTTTCCGGGCAAGTGCAGGCACAGGCACAGGCACAGGCAGGTGCGATGGTGATGGTGATGGGAGACACGATATGCAAGGCTGAATGCTACCCTCTTCTCGCATTAGGAACGGTACTTTGTAGATTGTACACCCTGGGGTACCTAGGTGAGGTGCAGAAATTCGTGACCGGTACCTGCTTCCGCGTACTCCTACCTACCTATAGTAGTCTCCTACTTACTCACTCATTTGATTGTATGAAGGTAGACTCGGAGGATCAGTTCAATTGTCCTACCTTTTTTCAACACGACAATCTTGGAGTCCCAATTCTCCCACTTGTAGAGATGTTGGGATAATCGATTCAATACTCCGCACATCCAGTCATAATAATGTCTGTAGGAGTCCTTCCCTGGCGTACTCGAGTAACCACCAAAAAGTGGCCTTCTCGTTCCCCTTCTTTGGTGGAGTCGCGTCGCAGGGATAAGCTCCTTGAGGGTATGACGTAGCGAACTAAACTCTCTCCCTGGATTCTGAGCACGCAGAGCCCGAACTGGCATTGCTATGAAACTGTCATTTTGCCATGTGAAGACACTGAGCGCTGATTTGGTGTACCTGGCCTAGCCTAGGCACCCTTTAACACATGCAAAATCCTTCCTGACATGATGCCTGTCAGTGTTCCAGCAAGCCGTCCTTCAGCCTCCTTCTCCCAAACTGTTGGGAAGGATACAGTACCCACTGCCCACCTACACGTCAACCTAACCAACAATTCTGCTCAGGCTCAATGATATAAACCCATCCCCAAGCCAAGGGAAAATGTGTGCCAATACTTCGTACCGCTGAACTCGAAAACTAAAAGGATCACAGTCGTCCCCAAAAAGTTCATAGCCATGATCGGGACAAGCGCGGCCGAGTATTACTTTATCCGCCTCTGCATCGTCGGGCTACACTACTTGGCCCCCCTCGCCCTGTGTTACTGCGCCCTGAACATCCTCCTCCATGGACTCCAAGTAGCAATATATCGCGTGCCTCTCGTGATTGAGTGTGTAGCCGTTGCCGAAGCTCTGTTTTTCCTTTGCGTCTACCTCCCATACAAATCCTACCTTCAACGAGAAGCCGTCCATCCAACCCCACCAACGCGCGAAGAACGACAGGAGCTCTTCCAACTCTGCAATGAAAACATTGAGAATCCCCGGGAATATTTACAGAAATGGTTTTTGGGAGCCGACTTGAAAGATATCAAAAGGGAAAATGTGAAGGAGTTTTTCTTGTGGGCATTTTTCAATCGCGGTGGTCCACCTGGGGATGACGATGAAGAGCTAGAGGAATATGTTTCCGCTATGGAAACGCTTCTGGGCGAACCCATTGAAGCTGGCAGAGGAAAAGCTAAATGTTTGCGCTTAACATTGGATGAGGTGAAAATGCTGCATCGGAGTTTGATCTGGTATCTGGTACGCTTTTCCCGCAATGAAGATCCAGGAACCAATTCAGAAGTATCATGCTAATTCCAATAGTGCGTTGGTTTTGTTGACTTCCTGGCCTACATTGCATTGCTATATCACGGCTTTCATTTCCACCGAACTAGTCTCTCTCGATTCTTTACCCTTTTTCCATTTCGATGGCAATCATTGTTCTCCACATATCGTTCACCTGCCAAGCACACCATGTACTGGCATCGACCACATACCTCTCCCACAAAACTCCCAATGCTTTTCATACATGGAATAGGGATTGGATACTATCCATATACCAACTTTCTCAGCGAGCTTAATTCTACCGCGGGTATAGAATCATCTGACCCAAATGATCAAGTTGGGATAATTGCTATCGAAATTATGCCAGTAGCGTTCAGGATCACCCACCACGCATTAGGTCGCGAGGAGCTTTGTGCGGAGATAGATCAGATCATTCATGAGCATTTCGGTCCAGATCAAAAGTTTATTTTGGCATCACATTCCTACGGAACGGTCATTTCTACCCATTTACTCAAAACACCTAAGATCGCCAAAAGAATAGGTCCAATGGTTCTGGTAGACCCTGTTTCTATGTTACTCCACCTCCCTGACGTGGCTTATCACTTCACTCGCCGTCAGCCAAAACATGCAAATGAGCATCAATTGTATTACTTTGCCAGCATGGATATGGGCGTCAGTCATACACTAAGCAGACATTTTTTCTGGAACGAAAATGTATTATGGAAGAAGGATCTCGAAGGACGAAAGGTCACAGCAAGTTTAAGTGGAAAGGATCTCATCGTCGATACCTTAGCTGTGGGCAGATATCTGAGCGATCAGCCCAAAAGCACGACGATTCCTTACAGAGATAATCCTGAGATGGCAAGTACTCAGGACGCCGATGAGAACTCCACCGTCCGATTGAGGACCAATGAAAACAGTACCCATGTCGATACAAACGATGAGGAATGGCAATCGCGGCCTTGGAAGGGTACTGGAATCGAAGTTTTATGGTTCAAAGACCTAGATCACGCTCAAGTTTTCGACAGCAAGATTTGTAGACGGAGATTGATTGATGTTATTCGTGCGTATAGTGAGAGTGGTTGATATAAGAAGGACGGTCAAATTCTTTCCTTGCGATGATGCTGCGTTGGAAGAATCAGTTCCGATGATTGCGTTGGGTACAATATTACATCAGAAGGACTGGCGCCAACTGGCACCAACTACCACGGTTATCACAGGACACGATCCAGATCTAGAGTAGATACGAACGCGACGCGTCATTTCGGGGGTTTTAGTCATTTTATCCGTTAGATGCACAAAAAGAGGTTCCCGAATGACCATGTCCCTTTCTAGATTAGATGGTTTAGATGGATTGGAGATCGGGTTGTTTTAGGATACCCTAAATATGAAAATTTTATTGGTTTCTACCTAGGTAGTTGTCATTATGACACCTTGATGTTGTAGATAAGATCTTTACCTATTCTCCTTCTTCACCTTTTCTCCCTTTTTTTTGTTGTGTGTTTTTGTTGGACCATTCTGGATTCGATTCTTCTTCATCATCATCTTCATCATCATCATCTTCTTCTTTCCCTCTTTCTTTCTTCACAATTGTGATTGTGATTTTGATACACTGGATATACCGAGTAAGATCTCACTTCCGACTGCGAGTGCGAATGCGAATATCTCTCACCAAGAACGAACGAAAGAAAGAAAGAAAGAGTATTATATCGGTGCTACGATCGAACCTGTTCATTATACAATTTCAAGATCTGGGAATTCGAGAAGAGATAGATAAGAGGTGCGAGGATGTCAATCTCCCACTCCAACTTCACACTCCCTGGGGACTTGTTCCCTGGTGATAACGGGACTGGGGAGATTATCGAACGTGTGAGTTTTTTGATTTTCTTTTCTTCTTTTCTTACTCCTTCCTGTACCTGTAAGATTACTTTTCCCCTTTCTACCTAAGATTTCTTCCTTTGTGGAGATTGGGTGGTGTCATGTTATATATTTACTTGTATAGATGGGGAAACCATAACTGACGTATTTACTTACCCTTGGGATATGTAGAAAATCATCCTTTACCTCTCTTTGATACTGGGAAGTGTGGGGTCTTTGGTTGTGATTGTTGACCTTTTCTCTTGTTTGGTGCTTGCTTGCTATGAGTACGAGTACGAATGGAAAGGACAGTATGAGAGAGAGAGAGAGAGGGACAGAGAGAGACAGAGAGAGACAGAAAGTCAAACTAACAAAACCAAAGTGTGTATATCCGGCCTCAGTCTCCCACCTCTAGCTCGGGAATACACTCGTCTTCGTTCCTCCTCCTCCTCCTCCTCCTCATCATCCATCTCTTCGCATTCTTCTCACTCAACCCACGCCTACCCCTCCACCTCCTCCGACGACGAAGAACAAACACCACTCCTCCCAAAATACCAGCCCCTCCCAACAACCAACCATCCAAACGACGACAAGAAGAAGGGTATGAGCGTGGTGACTACGCGTGCGCTACAAGGTGTTCGTGGAAAGGACTTAGATATGAGTGCGTATGGATATGGGTGTTTTTATACTGGTCTTGCGGGCTTGAGACGTGCGGGGGTGGGGGATGGGTATGAGGCCGATTTTGATGAGGAGGAGATTGGGTTTTAGGGAAGGGGAGAGGGGGGGTGTGAGTATGTTGAGGATATATATAGGCTAAGTCTGTCTTTTACTCTGGGGTATTTGGGTTGGGTTGGTTTGTTTCATTTTGGCATGGTCTACATGTAGATAGATAGATGGGTAGGTAGATATCAAAATAAAGGCCTCTGACGCTATCTCAAGGAGTAAAGGGAAGGGAAGGGAAGGGAAATCAGATTAGATTTATTTAAATCAAATTACATTAGAAGGGAGGGATACCGTTTCCTTCTTCATGTTTATCTTACTATTTATATTATTAGGTACTTTTCAATCACTGCTTTATATCGTACCTATATCTTACGGTTAAGAATATATACGAAGATTAAAATGGTTATTAATCGAGGCTGCATATATATGATTTCTTTCCGATCGCGAAGATTTGTACTTGTAGAGAGGATAAGAGGGAAGGGGGTTTTATTCTACCTAGAGGTAAGTAAAGGTATAAGAACTCGGAGGGGCACTAGTATCTTGTCGCGCCTAACTTTTCTATCTTCGTAGCTCTAGCCTGCAGGTTCTTACCTACGTACCTAGAAAGGTGTAGGTTTTAGTGAGGTCAACGTTAACGTTAATATTAGAAGAGGAGTAGGTAAAGGAAGTCGAGTCGAGATGAGATGGCACTACCTAAACATAAGACCATATAGTCACTTCCAGACTAAAAGTATCACCTGATCATGTATATAGCCACGAGACCGTCGTACGGGGAACACTCGAAGGTGTCTTGACTTCTTCACCAGCTCGACAAGGTCGACGTCACGTTAAGTTATAGAGTAGGGAAGGAACTACCTGGACGAAAGCTCTGGACCTTACTTAGCCCAACCTAACCCTGAGCTCGATAAACGGCTAAACGAGAAAGTTAACGTTCTCTACTAAGATTCTCTATTAACCTAACCTTGCTAACCCACGTTGTCGTGAGCATACATTCCCGCAAATCAAGGAGAGAAGGAACGACTCTCGTCCTACCCCGGTAGGTTGGATTCACGGAGAGATAGAAGTCTAAGCCGAGGTAGGTCTAACTTCGTTCCTTTCTTAATGCGTATAAAACCAAATTTGGACTCGACCTAACCGGTTACCTTGCCTTGTCGCGCAGGCGTGGGTAGAATGCGGTGTAAAGGCCAGGAGGAAGGTCCGACTATCGTGGGAAAATAGTGGTTTCGTTCGAGGACCTGTGACAGGCCGCAAATAAGTATTGAATGCAACACCTATATCCTCGAGCTTTCTCATGCTGCGGATCTGGACACTGGGTAGAACGGTAGAGTGGGAGAGGGAAGTTTGAAAGTGGATTTGTATTGTAACTACGGAAACAGAATTATATTCTGCATTTAAATGGTACTTGTATGCTACAGATGTATTTGCAGTAGGTAACGACAAGTACCGAATACCACAAGAAATGACCAATTTGCATTCCAGAGCGCTTGCCTATAAAATGGTGTATATAAAATACGATATTCATATATCAAGTCGAGTAGCTTTGAATTTGTCGCAGATCATATTCGTAGACCAAATTGCTTATATTTAAGCCTGTTTCAATTATTAGCTACGATACTATCCGAGGTACCAGAATGAAAGTAGATAGAGTACTAGAAGTTCAGACATGAAAATATTGGTTGATCAACAAGGAAAATTCAGTTGGCCGTTCTTAAGAGCATAGTGTAGTCATCATGAAAAGTAAAGGGGATATGAAACAGAGAAGAATGTGGAACGTACCAAAAGTGCATATCCTGTTGTACTCACGTGCTGCTGTTGGTTAGTAATATGTATCGAGCAAACTTTGCAAAGACAAATATCATGTATAACTAACTGGCAATGCCAATTGACATGAATCTTGGTGCTTTATCGTCCGAGGAATCCACCATCTACAGCGTGTATTTCTCCGCCAACATAATCGCTACTTTTTCCGCACAAGTGAATTATGGCTCCAGCTAGGTCAGAGGGTAAACCCCATCTCGCAGCGGGTATTCGAGCCATCAAGTTCTTCTCTTTCTCAGAACCATCTCTGAGAGCGGTGGTCAACTCTGTTGATATGTATCCTGGAGCAATCGCATTGACATTGCTGCCCTTGGCCATCCACTCATTATTAAAAGCTTTCGTCAGTTGCCCCAATGCCCCTTTGCTGGAGACGTATGCCGGTATCTCAGTGCTTGCAGAATATGTGGTGGCGCTTGCAATGAAGACGATTTTCTTTTTCCCTTGAACACTCGCAGGGTTTTCTGGGGATCTCAATGACGTATTCAACCATAGTTTTCCAAGCTCTCTACTCAGTTGAAACCTAGCCGTAAGATTGACTCCTATAATCTCGTCCCAATTGACATCTGGAAAGTCTTCGGCGGGAGATCGATGTTGGAGGCCACCACAGTGAACAAATATATCAATTTCGTGGCCATCGCGAGTTATTTCGGGAACAATGGAAAGAAGACGAGCGCGATCAGACAGGTCGCATGGATAGATGTAGTATTTTCGACCGCATGATTCGATTATAGAGGTCATTCCACGTACTGCCGTCGAATCTGGGTCTCGTGCGAGCAGAATGATATCGGCGCCAGCAGAAGCTCTGTCATGAGGTCATTAGCAGATTCTTGCCATATCGCAGAGTGACGCTGGAGTACAAGGCCGTAACAAGACCTCTTCCAATTCCACGTGTGCCTCCTGTGATCAAAACCTTCTTGCCACTCAGGCCAAAAAGTGAGGATAGATAGGATTCCATTGTGGTGGCTGGAGCTGGAGCGGTACAAAGTAGCTAGCTGTTGTGTAAGGAGGTACAAATTTTCTGCCCCGCAATTGGATATGTCTCGGCTATTTATCGGTGCTTCCTGGGGAACCTGTGCATCGTATGCATAAGTTTCACTATTCCACCCCCAAAAAACTCAACAAACACCAGGCTTCTCAATGTCGATCAAGGTGAGTAATAAGTCAGCTACCTCTATAGCTCTATATTGAAATGTCTGCTGGCTCGATTCCTGATCACTCCTTGCTCTTGAGAGCAAGTGCTTCTGAGAAGTGAAATGCGGTCACAAAAGTTGAGCGCGTTTGCTATGTTTATTGCGTGTTTATTGCGTGACCAATATCAAATCAATACCTGACTGGATTCTAGCATGTTCACACCCTCAACCCGGTGACAGCTCTTGAATTTTATACCGCTGGCGTTGAAATCCGCCTTCTATTGGCCGCCGAGGGGTCATTTCTGAAGGTCTTTAATGCGGAAAATTCAGAACTGATATCTCAGTGTGAAGTATTCCATGAGCAAACTATCCATGGGATTGCCGTCAACAGAGGCTCTCAAGAAAGTGGCTTGGAACTAGTCATCTGGGGCGGGAACAGTTTGATACTGCTTAGCAGGCTTGATTTTGAGCAAATTCTGCATGCAAGCGTTACGAGTACTGCTGGTAGAGCCGTGAAGGTTTCGGATTGGATTCTGGACGTGGCAATATGGGAATCATGTTGTGTGCTTGTGACTGCTCACAATGCTCTTCTTAGAGCCAGCTTCGACAAAAATCATCGACCTGTAATAGAGGATCTGCCTTCGCCATCAGAGTCAATCTTGTACTCCGCACACGTGGTTTGGGATACCCCTGAGCAGATTTTGGTGGCAGCAGGAACTGTTTTTGGGGAGATCATATACTGGAGAGGTTCTGTTGCTGAGAATGGCTCATTCGGAGACGTTCAAACACTCTTCACTTTCACTGGACATGAAGGATCAATTTTTGGCGTCAATATCTCGCCAATTATCGTTGGGCATGGGAATGAGCAAACCAGACTTTTAGCAAGTTGTAGTGACGATCGCGCTATTCGAATTTGGGATTTGGCAGAGGATGCGGAGAAGAAAGGAGTGGGTGAAAAGTCCACTTTACGAGAGACAGGATTTGGGGAGAATGAACGGGATGCGGGAACCAATTTTCCTGATGAAAGATGTCTTGCTATGGTTATGGGTCACGCTTCGAGGATATGGGGAGTCAAATTTCTTGTTGGAAACTCCAAGGATCTTGGGTTTCCTCTCGTCAATGTTCTGTCATTGGGTGAAGATTCTACTGCTCAACAATGGTCACTAGAACTCGCAGAACAAGTTGACTCTGACGTAGAAATGGGTGGGGTTGAACCCGTTCTCAATTCTGGCATGAAACATACTGCGAAACTTATCCATGTTGATACATATGCCTTTAACAGTGGTAAGCATATTTGGTCATCGGGGTTGGTGCCTGAAGGTAATGGCATTTTTCATATTGCTACGGGTGGAGCGGATGGCAAGATATCCAAGTACGATATAAAGTTGGCCAGAAAAGGATTCTCTGCCACAGATGCATATACCCAAGACAGCGAGGCCACGAATGAACCTTCTGATAGTGATGTGTCACTAAGTGCGTGGGATCTTGAAGAAGTCCTCAACCGATTTTCTCTACATGGATCAGATAATATGACAACATTACAACCAGCTCGAGCTGAGGTTATTTCAGACCCTGAGCCTATCCTCGATTCAATCTCCGACGAAAATCCACCGAAAAGGAAGAAAAAGGCAAAAAAAGTACACAAGGACGCTTTTAATCGTTACGCCTTTGTCACCACAAGCACTTTCATAACAACCACTACCTTTGGGCGTGTATTAACGGGCCAACTTGGTGTCTCCACGATTTGGAACGAGATATTCTTGCCACAATCAGGAAAAGACGATTTGAGGTCATATTCTATTGTCGAAGGATTCCCTGAGCTTTCTACGGCATTTCTTGCTGGGGATAATGGCAACATATATTCTTATCAACCAGGAAACTTGATTGGTCAAATTGGAAAGGTTGACGGCAAGGTTGCCGATATGTTCAAAATCCACGATATCCAAGCGAATACTTATTGTCTGCTTGTTACTACCCTCTCAACTAAAGTCGCCACATTGTTCTCGGTAAAACCAATGGCTGACCACACGATTCAATACACTCTTCCCGATGAATTTGTGGTCACAGCAGGTGGGATGTACAATGGTATGCTAATTCTGGGCTCGCGTAAAGGTTCCTTAGCTGTTTATCATCCGCAAAATCCGGAACAACCTGTATGTACATGGAACGACCAGCGGTTTAGCTCAGGAGATTCATTCACAACTATACTCGTCCTTCCTCCACCAACGGATATACCCGAAAAAATCTACATTTTAACCACCGGTAGAAATGGAGTATATTCGATATTCTCTTTAGGATTCTACAGCTCGAATGAAGGACTAAGCGGGGAGATACATCCAGTTCATTGCGGCACTCCATCATTCGGACCTATGATTGAGGCAGCATGGTTCGAAGACGGAGATCTAATTCTATATGGTTTTAAAAGTAAGAACTTTGTCGCATGGAACGAAACCAAGCAGTATGAAATCACAAGCGTAGACTGTGGTGGAGCTCATCGAAGTTACGCATACTCTGCTCTCAGTAATTCGGCAGGTGCTGGCCATTTCGTTTACACCAAAGCTTCAAAGCTATACATCCATTCACAATCCAAACCTTCACACGAGATCATCAAACCAGGTGGCCATGGACGGGAAATAAAAACAACAGCCATCTCTGGCGACAAGAGGTTCATCGCAACAGGAGCAGAAGATACAGCTATTCGGATCTGGCAATATACAGAGGACTCCAACGCCGAGCTATCCCCTCACTTCAACAATCTAGCCGTAGTCCAAAGCCACACAGCAGGAATCCAACACCTCCAATGGCACAACTCAACCTACCTCCTCAGCAGCGGTGGCAACGAAGAATTCTTCATCTGGAGCATCTCCACCATCCCCTCCTTCGGCATCGGCGTAATCTGCGAAGCCAGCTGTCCAGACCCAAGCGCCGACCAAGATCTACGAATCATGAGTTTCGACGTAACATCCTGTCCCATCCATCTCTCACCAGACGGACAAGAAAGTCTACTTCTAAGTCTCGCCTACTCAGACTCCACGATTCGGTGCTACATCTACAACAAATTCACCGGCTACATCCTCATTGGAACCGGGAACTACACGTCTTCCTGTCTAACCCAAATCACCCACCTCGATATCAAGAACGACACCGTCTGTCTCCTAACCGCCTCAACCGACGGCCGAGTCCCAATCTGGAATCTGCCCCTTATACACCAATTCATAGGCGAAGACTTGGACATGGAGAATAGTTTCCACCCCTCACCTCCACGGTTAGAAATGATCTCAACCTCCAAAATCCACCAAAACGCCATTAAATCCCTAGATGTCCAGACACACGGAGGATATATATTCGTCGTTACGGGTGGTGACGATAACGCCCTTGCCATCTCTATTTACCAATCTTCAAATATGGGCGCTAAACCGCAAATCTTCATCTTGAGGAAGGCGCACGCGGCTGCTATCACGGGGATCTCTATCCTTCCGAGCTCTTTCTCTTCCGACTCCTTGGATATAGGAGAGGGGGCGTTCCGGGTCGTTTCCGCGAGTAATGATCAGAGAGTTAAGGAGTGGGAGGTTTCTGTTGCTGTTAGGGAAGGAGATGGGGGCCTTGAGGTAAGGATTAGGAATTCTGGCGATGTGTTTACGTCTGTGGCTGATGTGGGGGATTTGGCGGTGCTTGGTGGAGGGGGGGGAAGAGGGGACGACAGTGTGGGTGTGGGAGAGAGAGTTTTGGTTGTGGGGAATGGGATGGAGGTTTGGGGCGTTGGGGGGGTGTTTTAGATTAGAGTGTGTTGCGTAGTGATTTTATTCATAGAATACGGAGTTCTTTTTGATATACAGTACTCCTTTTTTGCTGTGAATAGACCAGGGGTAGATTTAAGTCTGTCTGTCTGTCTAAGCTGTTCTCAAGATTCGTGATTGTATCCTTATACCTAACAATAGTGCCCCTTTCTAGTTTACGTCCCCCCCTGACTGCGACGTAACTTACTCATTACGAAAGTCTTGATTTACTGTAGTAGTATATCCATCATTCACATACACATACACATCAACTCCCCAAGACTCATTAAACAGAATAACCTTCAACAAATTACAATAAAACACAAATATCCCTCTCCTCCATCCCTCCACTTCCTCCCCTTACCAACTAATTTCTCAACCAAGTTCCAACCTTCAAAGTGCAAACTGCGAGTCATCTATTCACCTCTGCTAGGTACTTCCTACTTCCTACAATGATACTATCTCGTCTCGCCTCAAAGATCCCATAACCAATTTAATAACGTATTAATGTAAAGGTTTTAGAAATTATTATTCGAGTACCTTACTACCTTACTAGTTCCTACTACCTACTCCCAACCCAACCCCATCTCAACTCTTCGAGACTAACAAGTCAAACTTATAGTAAGACTTACACAGATATTAATTCTTAACCCCCACCAGCTCTTTCACAGCAACCAAACACAACAAACAAATCAAGCCTGGAAGCAGAAAATAATGCTAATACCTATCTCGTGCCTATATACAAAAGAAGAAAAAAGTATTTAGATCATGAATTACTACAATGCTATGGTATAACAACACACCCAGCCTTGAGCCTTTAATCTATATTGACAAGAAGTAGCAAACGAAAAGAATAATAATAAAGAAGTAAATCAAGATTTCCCTAACGCCTGTCTATCTACCTAAACCAAAGGCAAAAGGGGGGTATTTTTTCGTTTCGTTTTCATGTCTTCCTTCCTTCCTTCCTTCATCCATTCCTCCCTAGACATCCATTCCCTCTTCAGCAGTTTTCTGCTCCCAACCCTGGGGCTTTGTACTTACAGTACCGACCTCCGTATATACTAAGACCTGGGTGAAGCTTAGTGGTTCATCTAGAACCAGTAAACTAAAAAAGGGTTGCTACTAGTAGACTCGGAGATAATATCGGTCTGGAAACGGTATGTCCAGACCGATTTATTCGGGATCCTCGAGGGCATCTCGAGGCATCTCGCTGATGTAAATGATAGACACCAAGATAGTATTGCCTGGATATTTCAGTCAAAATAGGGTTATTTGCTATTCTCGACTCCGTCGCTCCCCCATCGTTTCGCTTCATCTCCTTGTGCCCATTCCTTCTCCACATATCCCAAGTCTTTCTTGACTTTCTGGACAGTGGCCTGATCACCCGTATTCTTGCCAATATTATCACTAATCTTGATCGCAGAGTGTCCAGCTGCAGAACTCAATTTGATGACAATGTTGAGTGGTGTTGACTTGGCACCTGTCTTTAGGTGTACAAAATCATTCGTGAAAAAGGTTCCAACACCAAATGAGGTATTGAAGCCAGCTTCGTCAGATATTTTCTTGTACTCCAGACAGAGATCAATATTCAAGGAGTCGGAGAAGACTATCGTCTTCTTCTCAGTGATACCTCGACTATCATAAAAGTCCTTCATCATTTTCACAAAATTGGCCGGATCTCCAGAATCCTGTCGTACGCCAGTAAAGACTTCAGCAAACGTCTTACTCTTAACATTGCCATTAACGGAGTCATCCGGAGTAATACTTTCTCCAACCTCCAAATCCCCAACAGGTTTGATCGGCTCGCTGAAAGCCTTCAGGAAAACCGGTGTGCCGAAAGTATCCGTGAGCGCAATTCCAAGAACGCCTTCTCCAAAACACCCAACCCAGTAACTCAAGGCAGTCGTCGTAGCATTCTTATAATCCCCCGTGATAGCCGCGACACCCATGAACCACTCATGGGCCACCGTCCCAATTGGGGGAATACCAAATCTCATTGCCAAGTGAACATTACTCGTCCCAGAGATCTTGCCAGGTAATCCAATTCTCTCCCCTTCCTTCTTCGCCTTGACCAGTCCGCGAAAGACCAGGGCTTGGGTATGGTAGTCTCTACGTCTGCGTGTACCAAACTCCGACACAACACACCCTGCCTCGAGCAAGCGCATCCCCTTCGCATACGCTTTGTCTTCTTGTCCATCGTACGACCAATCCGTATCCATAAAGCGGAAATAAGCCTCACTCGTCAGAGCCAGGAGGGGAATTTCGTAAAGAATAGTATCCACCCATAATCCCTTGATGCTCAGACAAAACTCCCCGATATCCTCATCGCTTCCTGTGTCATTTTCCGGGGTAAAAGTGGCTTCGATTTGCTCGCGCGGATTCAGACGGAAGTCTTGGAGGAAATCGAGATATGGCTGATTCAGGTATGTGCAAGTTGACTTCAGAAAGCGCAACTCGTCCGCCGAGAGCGCGATGTTGCCCAATTCTTTTACTTGTTAGCAATAGTAGCAATTTATGGGCATTTTTAGGTGACTGACTGTTGATCTGTACTTGAAGCCATTTGAAAGCTGCTCTAGATAGCTTCTTTTCCGGAGTGCGGTTGTGCAAGGCATACGAGACTGGAACCTTTGAAAAGTACTTGAGGACGGCGCATTGCATTGTCAATTTGTAGAGATCAGTATCGAGGAAGGAGATGACCCCTTCTGGAAAAGGGGAGGACCCATTAAATTCCATGATGATGCGATGGTGTGGTGTTGCAGAAAGCTGTAGAAGATGTGTGGTTGAAGGTGGGAAGGTTCGAGATTGTACTGTATGAGAGGGATGGAGAGGACCCCTCTATGCTTAGCATCACGCACATCGGGCCGCTGTGGAGGATTCACTACTCGAGTAGCTACTACCACTAGCAACGAGTGATCTAATCTTTGAAACAAGCGCTAAAAGGCCATGTGACAGGTCACACAGAGCATCCACATACCCCGAATGGTTTTTGAGTTTGGCACCGTACAATTCACGGCTGCTTGCGGCATTCACAGAGGGGAGGCGTTGCTTTACGCGCCAGCGAATCGATCCACGAGAGTCATAAGTATTCCAACCAACACCAACCAACACCAACCAACAAAAGGCAGAAACAATTTTTTATAGTAGTTTTGATTCCCTCACTATCTCACACACCCAGCCCCTTTCCAGCCAGCCCCCCTGCTGTACC